GGATGTATTGTATACTGGATGGATGGACTAATGCTATTTCAATAAAAGAGACAGATAGGTTACATGTGAACATGACAGTATGAACAGAGAAAGAGTTCCTGAATGGATACAAGGAGCAAGATAATAATAAAATAGCATACAGACAGACTGGGAAAAAGGGAGCATTTGTATTATATTCCGATGTGTATGTTTTTAATATTTGCAGTCCTTCGAAGTATGGTCACAGCTACAGCCTTTCAGATCTTAGTGAGCAACAACGTCGCAATTAAGGCCATCACTGACAACTCTATAGTCACACTGGAGGTGAGTGTCGAACCTGATTGGTTAGGTTTGTGATTGCTCTGTTCTCTGTTCTGCACTGTGTAATTGGTGACGTGTATTTTAGGGAGTGCTTCCAGGAGCAGGGGAAGATGTACCCACTATTGTCATCACTGCCCACTATGATTCATACGGGCTGGCCCCGGTGAGTCACATATAAATAATAAAAACACAGTTGAGATGTGTTTCCAAAGCTCCACCATGTTAAATTGTTTGATCCATTCCCCTCTTAAAATGTAAGCACTTAAAATCTTCTCATGCATGAATATGCTTCTGATTGTGTGTAACACAGTGGTTGTCTTATGGAGCAGACTCTAATGGCAGTGGGGTCACCATCCTGCTGGAATTGGCACGTCTCTTCCAGAAGCTTTATAGTAGTCCACGCACTAGACCACCGTGAGTTACAGCTTTACAAAACACTGGCAGGGACAGTTTTTCTACATAATGAGTACTTTTATTCTTTTAGTATCATTATATACTGTTTTTATTATTATCAACAATGAGCTAATGAACTCTTGAATTCCCCCTAGGGGATAAATAAAGTATCTATCTATCTATCTATCTATCTATCTATCTATCTATCTATCTATCTATCTATCTATCTATCTATCTATCTATCTATCTATCTATCTATCTATCTATCTATCTACATGTAGCTATAGTAAATTTCACTTATGTAAGGTTTTGAATGCATGGCTTTTACTTGTAATGGACTAATTTCACATTAAATAAAGGATCTGAATAGTTCTTCTTCTTCTTCTGTATCTAAACAAAAAAGAAATGCCAATAATGCTATGCTTATGTTACAAGAACATACGTATTTATTATGAGTAGCACTGGTCAGATAATAACACCCTGGCTGAAAACCTATTGTGAATATATATGTATTTACAAGTCATATTACATTTCATTTTTTGAAATGATCTGACAGAGTGGCGCATATCATGTTATTGGGTTAGAATACTCTATCATTACATCAGTGATGGATAAAAGGTTGTTTGTTTGACTGCTTTCGTTGTTTTAGATATCATTTAATGTTCTCCTTGACTGGAGGAGGAAAGTACAACTTCCTCGGCACAAAGAGGTGGATTGAAGAGAATCTGGACCATGCAGGTGAGTTTCTGGCTTTGTGACCCGTTAAACGTGGAATATCTACTGCGTGTGCTCATATGAGTTTAAACACGAACTGTCCAGTTTGATTCATTTCAGTCAAACATGTTCCCTCCACAGAGTCCAGCCTGCTCCACGACAATGTGGCGTTTGTTCTGTGTTTGGATACACTGGCCAACGCTGATGAACTGCACATGCATGTTTCCCGCCCTCCTAAACCTGGAACTCCAATGCACTCCTTCATTCAGCACTTGGAGGAGGTAACACACTTTACTGCTAGGTGCAAGTCTCATCGGTCTCAATGACCATTTGCTCTAAAGTTTCTGGTTATCTCCTTCAGGTAGTTTCCTCTAGATTTCCCTGGATGAAGGTGGGTTTGGTCCATAAGAAGATCAATCTTGTGGAGTCCACGGTAGCCTGGGAGCATGAGCGCTACAGTCTGCGCAGGATCCCTGGTTTCACTCTGTCTCACCTGGAAGACCCCAAATCTGAGCTCCGTGGATCCATACTTGACACAATGTAGGCTCTAAATTATGTTTATGATCATTTTGAGCAGCACGTACCATATTGGCCGTTTCCTGAACATGTGAATATCTTCTCACAGGTCGCAAGTGGATTTCAGGAAACTGAAGCGTAACGGTATCATCATAGCAGAAGCTCTGGCCCAGTATATGTACAATCTCTCTGACAAGGTGATTAAACTCATGAAAACAGAGTACACTCAAACAAATATAGAAACAGAGTCTTCATAGTTTGTTCTGCTTTTCTTTTTTTTTTTATATGTACAATCTCTCTGACAAGGTGATTAAACTCATGAAAACAGAGTACACTCAAACAAATATAGAAACAGAGTCTTCATAGTTTGTTCTGCTTTTCTTTTTTTTTTATAGCATGTTAATGTGTGATTGCTGTGTGTTATCTTTCACCAGGGTTCACCAAAAGATGTGCAAGTTTTTAAAGGCCAAATGGTAAGATTCTGGTTATTTTAGTCATTATGCAAAGGAAGTTGCTGACCTCTGGTGGTTTTTTTAGGCATTATAGCATGTTAATGTGTGATTGCTGTGTGTTATCTTTCACCAGGGTTCACCAAAAGATGTGCAAGTTTTTAAAGGCCAAATGGTAAGATTCTGGTTATTTTAGTCATTATGCAAAGGAAGTTGCTGACCTCTGGTGGTTTTTTTAGGCATTACACAGTGTTTGCATCATCAAAGGCCCAGGCTCATGTAATGACTTTAGCTTGTTAATTTGATTCAGTTGAAGATTGGGAACTTCAAATGAAACAACTGCCATATATGAAGAGGTTTAAATGCTCCAAAGTGAAGAACGTTTTGTACTTTTGGCACAGCATAATGTGAGAATAATTTCCAGTAGTTATCACCAACATAATGTAAGTTCCAGATTACAGTCTATTAGAACACTTTGACGTATGGTAACTAGTATTTTATAATTTTTCTGTGTGAATTCATGTCTGAATCCTTGATGCAGGACTTTCACGACGGTCGTATGTCCAGTCTGATGTCCTTCCTGACGTCAGTCCCCCGGGCAACCCAGCTGTTGGATAAGGAGCCCAGTCACATCCTGTTGGTCAACTCACTCGAGCACGAATTTAAACGCTACCTACAGCAAGTCCATAGACACAACTTTCGACAGGACAAGAGGTATCACATGATAGCAAAAGTGGCAAACATACAGTATAAATTATATTTCCGACACTCATCTTTCCTGCCTTGTTAACTATAGCCTATTCAATACTCTTCATGCAGGGACCCTGATATTACCTTTTTTGATCAAATGGACCAACCAATAGTGATGTACAGGTAAATATCTGTGTTATAGTTCTTTTGGTGCATGTATTACTTTGAATATGACTTGGATGATAATGACACACTTTTTCTCCCAGAGTGAAACCTGCAGCTTTTGATCTCTTCCTTGGTGGCTGCATTGCTGGTTATTTGGGGATTGTTTACTACGCAATCCAGGTTCGTCAATGTTTTCTGTTACAATGCCCGTTCATATTATATTGTTGCATGTCTTCCTTTGCAAACCGTATATCACCTAGCTTGTTGTTTTCCTACATCATGTGTCTGTTCTCTATTACAGAATTTTGGCTGTCTCTACACAAAACTGAAAGCAGCAGTGAAATCCAAGCACCATTAAAGTCCTGTAAGACTACGAATACTGAGCCTATGACAGCGGCTTTGAAGTCTGCACTGAACATGTTGAACTTCTGCTTCACTGTCTGTGCAGAACATGAAAGCAATGCAACAAGATCATATGCATGCACAACTTTCAGTGTGCATTTGCTTTGAAATCTAATATTGTTTTGAAGATGTTTGTTTGTACCTTTCATTATACAGAAATCCACTGTAACGCGAATGCTTTCTTATAAGAACAGACTGAATTTTGGTGTTTGAAGGAAATGAGACTTGAACAAAATAAATAAAGGACAAAGGTGGGAAGTTTTCTTGCCTCAAAATATCTTGAAGTAGGGAACAAATACCACAGCTTGGATCTGATTTGAGCCCCCGTGAAAGACGTTCCTGCCACATAATTAGTATGATTCTCTGCGTCCTCTGCTCTGCATCTGTTGACATGGATTTGACTGGGCTTAACATGGCTGTCAAACAAGGCCCAGCCACTGCAGTGAGATGAACAGCCAGCTCCTGTCACAGATAACTCAGTGAGAGCGATGGAGACACAAAGGCACCCTACAGCACTTGGTGAATTATTGATGCTCATGTGGCATGCTGACAGTGAATAGAGGTGACCCTGGATGGTGGTGGAGATTCTTAGAAATCCCATTGCTCCCTTGGTTTGTTCTGGTTCTGTAGATCTGATAAAACTGAGTCTGTTTTAACTACAAGGCAGTTACACAGCCAGAAGCTGAGCCTTCGTGTTTGAGATCAGTGCTGGCTAGTTTGTGAGGGTCCCTGGGAGGGAAGTAGGTCATGGACACTGACCCCAGGTATGTGTGTCTCTGCAGGGGGCCTGGGGCTTAGGAGGATTAGTGGCCGAGTGCTCAGGTAGCACAAAGAGTTGTTCTGGTTCAGCAAAGATGCTCTTAACGTGTCTCTACTTCCAACACAGTAGATTCATCACAGTAGCTACATGGTTAAACAAAAAGTTTTCACCATCTCTTGAGTCGGTGATTTGGATCCATGCAGGATTTACAGCAACTGATGCATGCACAAGAGAAACACAATGTTGTGATTCATTAAACACAAAAAAAGTCAAATATAACAGTAATATAGGTGGCATGCACAGCCCAGGAAGAATTTTAAGTAGAAAAAACCCTCACATATTTGACCAATTTGCAGAAAAAAAAGGTGTAAGTAATACAACAAGAGGTACACAGGTATAAGGGAAAGGGAGGAGCCACCAGGTGACATGGGAGGAGAAGGATGTTCATGAATTTCAGGCAGGCTGGCAGACAAGCAGTGGAAAATAAGTAAGACAGTAAGTGAAGATGGTTCCCCAGCTCTACATCACGGTGTACAAAGAGCAGTTCGCCTCTCCGGGCAGAGCGAAGAGAGAGCAGCTTCGACCCACCTCTGCCCACCGCAGGAACAACCCCCAGCCTCGGCCGGTAAGATGCTGAGCCCACTGTGCCACACACATGGACTGGACAGAGTGATTGTTCATGACTGCGCAAAGAGATGTAGAATTTCTTGAGAAAATGTCTCCACGATCAGTTAATTCATGGACGTTGTTGGACTTCAGTCAATGTAATTTAATAAATGCATAGATTAAATGCATAGATTGATTTAAGGTGAGACAAGACTAATTGTGTCACTTATTACTGGCACTCTATTGTTCATCATTTGGCCTGACTAAAGTGTCTTACACTAATTGGTGGCTGGTTGTTTACACTTCCCTGAGCTTGGTGAAAGCTGGATCCCATCTATTATTCAGTACTTCCTCCATGTCTATTTATTTATCCAGACATTGAGTAAACAGAGCTAAGAGGGGTGTGCAGGCACTTTACCGTCAAGAAAAAAATAGCTATTGACTGCACAAGAGAGGTGACAATAATGTATTAAAAAAAACAAAAAAACAAAATAGAAATCTTACATTTGCCACAACGGTGTCTCATATTTGCACAGTCACAGGCATTTTGAGTTTTTACATTCTTATCGTATAACTAAATTGTACTGAGAGAGAAATCAGGAATCATTTTGGAGTAATTGTGGTTTATTTCATGAGGAAAGCATTGAAATGAGGTGTCTGTTAATAAAGTACAAATACCACTTGTCTTAATATGGCGGTTGAAATTCAGTATACAGTCGTTACATGTAGAGAGGAATGTTCAGTCTAGTGGGCAAGAGATGTGATATCCAGGTTCTTTTCTACATCTCCTTCTTATATTTCCATCCACATTCCACATTCCTTTTTTTCTTTGCCTTTCCAGGACTTTCTGTTTCCCCGGAGCCTTCAGCCCAACTACAAGTCAACCCGCACCCAACCACACCCCTCGCCCCCTGTGGACATTGGCCGTCCTCTCTTCCCTCCTGTCAGACATTTGTCATTTCACAGTCCGGTTACGACTTGTCCTAACAACTATCTAAAAACTGCAGAGGCAGGCAAACAGCAACACATGCCTCCTGTCAAGCCAGTTGCAGAACGAGCTCTGCCCTCTGCTGACAGGCTGCAGAAACTACAGCTGACTGAGCCTCCTGCTGGCACTGGCATTCAGCTCCATACAGCTTTGAAGAACCCACAATGGTGGCGATTAATCAGTTGATAGTATGAGCCAAAGGTAACACCAGAGAAAATACTGATTCTGATTGATTTTCTTTACAGGAGAATGGATTATCAGAGGAATGTGCATCCACTCTCAGCACAGCAACTCAGGTAGGAAAATGACCTCTGACCTCTTCTCGAGGCCTTTGAACTCTGAAAGCATGACTGAGTGAGGACTGAGCGGTTCTACAAGTCCTAAACTAACATTGTTTCTCACAGGCAACATGCAGGTGCTCACCTTCGGACAAGACCCCAAACTGGGAACCCACCTGCAGCTCAACACCACTTTCAACGGACACAATATCGCAAGTCTCGTTCTAACAGTACTCTGGATTATAGGTGCATATTCACTTGCATGTAATAATATAAAGCGTCATTTAAATAGTAAGCACTTAGGTCTAATTCCTGCTCCTATGTTTTCTCGAACAGCGGGTGCTACAGCTGCTTCCATGTGGTGAAGCCCTACCAAGCTGGACACTACATCATACACCCAGAGTTTGTGTCTGAATGCCTTCGTTAGGACTATTAGAGCCACCGGCTTACAAAGTGGGGGACCTGGAGAGGTCCTTGAGGGGGTGTCTGGGTGTCCCCCAGCAAAATGAGGGATTGTTAACTTCACCATTGTTTAATTCTTTACTAATTAACCCAGGGAGACAAGGTGTAAGAATGAATAATGTAATGTAGGTTGCACTCTCACCACTATTATCTCCCTGTATGCAATGTGGACACTTTTACAATTACGCACTAAATCAGCAACAAAGATCTTCCCATAAGGGGCTTGTGGTGATCACACTGAATGAGGCACTGTAGCCCAAATGTGTATCTGTTTATGACATTAAAATTTTATTCTACTTTTAGAGAGATCGTTCTTGTACATATGGTATAGACTTTCTTCATTGCATGTTTAGAGGGTTTAAACAGAAATAGTACTGCAAACAATAAACTTTTACTCAGGGGTGTACCAGACTTATTATGATGATGATTATTATAGTTACTTTTTGGTGAAACCATATAGTACAGGAAATAAAATATGGTCATTATAAACACTATGCAACATTGCACAGACAGACCTCAAATCCCCATAGAAATATCTAATAATATAAGTTTTTCTCCCCAACTTTGCTAATTGCTTTTTCCCCCAGTTCTTGAGAAGACCTTTTTTTTGGGTATATTTTCCTCTACGTTTGAAATTTTCCATCCAGTAATATTTGCTCAAATCATGTCAACCTGTTGAATCTGTGCAGAATGAAAGAATAAATAAATAAAGCGACCTGTTCAAATCTACTGGACTACATTTCCCATGCTGTAGAGGGCGTAGACAGTAGGCGGATACGCAACAGCATGCACCGATGCCTCTCTCTGTCCTTTTCTGTGAGCTGTGGAAAAACAAGTTGTGGCTGGAGTCGCTGTGGAGGCTGCTGTTGCTGACCGGTAGGAAAAAAAAAACAACTACTAATAACAGCTGAAAAGAAAACAGAATGAGCAGAAACGATATTTATATGCCACGTTGCTGTCAGGGACTCAGTGTTACTCTCCCTCCGTTAACTTTCTTGCACTACCCACCAATAAGGCGCACAACAACGGCTTTCTGTATATCGGGCTTGTGGGTGGGCTACTGCACTATGGAAGTTGTAGAAAGTTCAACTCTGAAACTCAACACATTCAGAGTGAAGACCGTCACTGTGCTCTGTAAAGTTCTCATGTGTGCATATTTATTCAAGTGTTTTAACAGAAGACATAAGCATGATTAGCATTTTGCAACACACACACACACACACACACACGCACGCACACGCACACGCACACTGTTAGAGGTAGTGAGACGTTTTCACACTCTGCTGTGACTGTATCAGCACTTCTGTGTTTTTTCTCCATGCCACAGTAGATAAGAAAAAGCAGAAAAGGCAGATATAAAAACCAACCTGATCGCACCATAAACAAACAAATGTCCTAGTCTGAAAGTTTTCTGCCTTTTCAGCCTCTTTCAATGAGAAACAAACATGTCAAACCAGTAGTTCAAGGTTGTTTTTTTGTAAAGAAAATTCGCCATATGAGTGAAAAGCAGACAAAAACAATGTTTTATTTTTTATAAAAAAATAATATTTGAAATATCATTAGAGATGAAATTAGTCATGGCAACAATTTTGGTAACTTTTCAAAGTTTTTTTTATTGTCTATTAAGTTGTTGTATTACTGTTTGATTTTTGTGTGTGTTTTGTAAAAAAAAAAAAAAAAAAAAAAAAAAAAAAGTACAAAAAAAGAAAAAAAACACACACATAGACGATTGATTTAATCCTTAACTTAATTTGAAGCAAGCATTTTCTGGTCCCAGCTTGTTTCCAAGTCCAGTTGTGAATATTTGTTTTCTTCATCCTCCATGACAATAAATTGAATTTCTTAGGTTTCTGGCTGTTGATGAACTTTCAGATGTCACCCTGTACTCTGGGAAACAGTGGTGGACAACTTTCTGACAATTTATAGATTAGATGAGTAATTGAGAAAATAATCATCAATGTAAATAAATAATCATGTGACTTTTTCCATCTGGTGTCCATCTTGTACTGTTCCATTAAAAGGAATAGAAACACTTTCAGACAGTTTTTATAGAATGGGCCTGATTTGCAGCGAGTCTTCTCCTGACTCTCCTGGTCAGTTTACCAGTAGCCTCAGTGGATCTTCAAGGAAACAACAGTTAGTTCTCTGTTAATTAATGATGGTCTTATGTTATCACTCCTGTTGTTGAGGGAAATCTATACAAGAGGTGGTTGAACACAGAATTAGTCAATTAGATTGCTAATTAATAGCAAGCATTTTTTATTATCGACCCCTGCTGCCGGGCCAGAGCATGAGGGTCAATTGCAGTTAGGACTAGTCAGCAAACAGGGAAGCTGGAGAGGACTGAACTCCCCTCGGTCTGCTGTGCATTCTAATTTAATCTATTCTGATTAGCTAAGGCCAGGAAAACGAACATCAACCAGTTAATTGCCTCTAAGAATTTCTCCTGTATCTCTGATGGGAGGGACAGTAAGGCCTGCATGTGAAGGAAATTGACATATTTCTTCTGTTCTTGTTTCAAAATGTTTTTTTTTGCCTAAAATGAACCAGATAACTTCCAGTTTTGGTTAGTCTGGTTTGATGGAGCACAAAGTTTAGTATGCTTTCCTCTCCTCCCCGGCATTGGCAGAGCTTTAAGGCCAAAATCCCCTTTTCTGCTTCTCTACTTCCTTACATACAAATGAGTCTTCTTTCAGTTGAACTCATATGTTAGAATTACTGCTGGGGACGTCCACTTTATCTTCTTATGGGTAACTGGCAGTAGATTTGTTTTGTTAAATCCCAAACACATCTTTAAAGTTTACATCTTGACAGTGTAATACCTCTAACTGCTGTGAAATCACTTGCTGTGCAGCAAAGCAGGGCATGTAAGACAATGCTAGAGATGTCATGGAGGCTTTGAACTGACAGGGAAACAAAATAGACTGAGAAAAAGGTTGACATTTTGAATGTGTGTTGTTCTGGCTGTTTTCCTGCATGTCTCTGATAGGTAAGTTAATATATTCTGACTATTCACATCTGGTAAGTAATATTAGGTGAATGCACTGTACAAAGGCTACAGCAACAGGAAACATTTTATAGAAAAGCATTTTATTTTGAACACATTTTCCATAAAATAAAACAATGATGATGTAAGAAGAGCAAATATTGCATGAAAACCTTGACACCGACTTTTTTTCTCTCTCTCTATGGACACTCAGGCAAACAGACATAAAGGCGGGGACAAAGTTCAACAAAAAAGGTTCCCTGGGAAACATTTCCATGAACTGTAGTTAACTCTTCAATTTACCCACTGATCAGCACAAGCCATGTACCAAGTGGTGCCGGGAGGAGCAGGGGGCACAATTACAGATGTTATCCCCAAGCAGAAACACAGCAAGGACACTCGACCCTTAGTTGGAGCTGGAGTGATCGGCCTGGTGCTGGTAATTGCAGCAGTGACTGCGTGGTGTTATTACATAGCCTCTCTACGCAAAGCTGAGCTGCTTAAGACTCAGCTGCTGGATCTGAATAAAGATGGCTACATTATCCGCAACCAGGGAGGGTCTATTGTTTTCAGAATGGATTTCAGGTTGGTGTAATTAAGTTGTGTGATGTATTTATTGTGTACAAGATACATATATCAGACACATCAGAAAATTAAAATAAAATGTAAATGTACAAATACTTATTTTAAACATGTCAAACGAGAGACTGCATGAGGATGTAATTATTTTTTAAATCTTGACAGGTCAGGGACTCTGGATTTGGATTCCTGCACTAAAGAAGGGGAGATGCTGAGCTGTGGACGCACCACTGATAGGAAACTCAACTTCTTCATTGAGACAGTTCGACCTAAGGACACAGTGCAGTGCTATCGAGTGCGTTGGGAGGAACTGGTTCCTGACATTCCGGTTGAGCATGCCATGACATACAAGTTCGCACATTGGTATGGCGGTGCAGTGTCAGCAATTCAGCACTGGCCTATTTCTATTTCTGGCCAGCAGGCTCCCAAACCCTTTGTTACTAGTGACATCTACTCAAACCGCAATGAATTTGGTGGAATTTTGGAGAGTTATTGGCTTTCATCTAATGCTACGGCCATCAAGATCAATAATTCTGTGCCCTTCCACCTGGGCTGGAATGACACAGAGAAGACCATGTACTTCCAGGCGCGATACAATGACAGTCCCTTCAAGCCAAACCCAGGGGAGGCTCCATGTGCTGAACTCAGCTACAGAGTCTGCGTGGGCTTGGATGTGACATCCATACACAAGTACATGGTCCGCAGATACTTCAACAAACCAAACAAAGTGCCAGCTAAAGTCATGTTTCGGCATCCTATTTGGTCGACTTGGGCATTACATAAGACTGACATTGACCAAGAGAAACTCTTGGCGTATGCTGCCAACATCCGTAAGCATTACTTCAACTGTAGTCCCCTGGAAATAGATGACCGCTACACCAGCCGCTATGGAGAATTTGAGTTTGACCAAACAAAGTTTCCCAATGCTTCGGCCATGTTCCAAAAGCTGAAATCAGATGGATTTCTGGTGTCACTCTGGATTCACCCTTTTGTTAACTATGACTCAGAAAACTTCCATACTTGTGTTGAGAGGGGCCTGTTTGTCAGGGAGCCTACAGGACGGCTACCGGCACTGGTGCGCTGGTGGAATGGCATTGGTGGCATTTTGGATTTCACAAATCCTGAAGCCCGTGATTGGTTTTCCTCCCAGCTACGTTCACTGCGCTCCAGGTATGGGGTGTCATCTTTTAAATTTGATGCAGGGGAGACCAACTATTTACCATGGAAATTTAGCACAAGAACTCCCATTCGAGACCCAAGTTTTTTCACAAGACGTTACACGGAAATGGCTATTCCCTACAATGATCGAGCTGAGCTGCGAAGTGGCTACCAGTCCCAGAACATATCCTGCTTCTTCAGACCAATTGACAGAGACTCTGTGTGGGGCTATGAGTTGGGTCTCAAATCCCTTATCCCCACAGTGCTCACTATTAGCATTCTTGGCTATCAGTTCATTCTACCAGACATGATCGGAGGGAATGCCTATCTGAACCGCACAGATGGAAATCATGCATTACCTGATCGAGAACTCTATATCCGCTGGCTGGAGCTGTCAGCCTTCATGCCCTCCATGCAGTTTTCTATTCCGCCATGGGAATACGACAATGAGGTGGTTGAAATTGCTCGGAAATACACAGCTCTCCACGAGAGTATTGTTGCGCCACGGGTCCTGGAGCTGGCTGGCGAGGTGCTGGATACCGGGGACCCAATCATACGGCCCCTGTGGTGGATTGCCACAGGTGATGAGACAGCCTATAAAATCGACTCCCAGTTCCTGATTGGGGATGACCTCATGGTAGCCCCAGTTTTAGAGCCTGGAAAGCAAGAGCGTGACATTTACCTCCCTGCTGGCCGTTGGAGAAGCTACAAGGGAGAGAGATTTGATATCAAGGAGCCACTGCACCTCACAGACTACCCTGTAGACCTGGATGAAATTGCTTACTTTGTTTGGGTGTAGCAAAAAGGAAAGGTAAAGCTGAACATTTGATTAATCCATGCTTCGATTTGCTTGTGAGACAAGCTTCATTAATTGAGCTTTTATGCTTAAGACATTGGATGAAAAGGTTTCCTGGATCAAAATATGAAGACTTCTTAAATGAATATAAATTTAAGTAACATATTACAAATGTGACCACTCAAAAATTCTGAAAACCTCATCTTAGTTTTTAAAGTTCATTTCATTTTAGCTAATAAATGCGACATTTAGCATTAGTTTTGTGGTTTAGTTTTTGTGGTTTCTGCTGGTCATACCAAACCAAATATGGCTGTAACAGCAAAACCCCAGCATGTATTAAAGTGAGTAAGGGTGTGTTTAATGCTTATGAATTCAGCTTTTCATTTGTACAAGGAAGAATGTGTTATATAATCTTTCAAAAGTTACATAGTTTCATTTTAAAGGCTGTACAAGTCACGTATATGAAACATTTGTCAAAAAGGGAATATTCAAACTGTGAATTGATTAGTGCATAATTGCCATGGTAGGACATAAAGTTGTTGAGTGTCACAGTACTTTTAGGTTAATGTAAGCCAAACAAATTGTATGATGGGAGATTTATAGAAGGGGTGTTATTATTGTCACAAGACAGATAGCAGGCTACATAAAACCTTCTACATCTATAAAGAAATCTCAGTTTGACTGAGATATCCCACTTTTCCTTTGACACTAATGACTCCTCTACTCCTCTGCTCCGAGATACTTCTCAGGAAGTCCGCTTTTATGCTCCACTTATCGGGATGAATGCTTGAAGTTTTGCTTGAAGTTTAATCACTACAAATTGCATGTGCTCTCATTTGTGTAACACAGTGTCATGTAACTTCTCTTGGCCCAGAAGAAGATGCCTTTTATTAGACACTAAATATTTTATGCTCTTCCTCAGGTAACAGTTTTCTCAGGCTGTAGTGTGTTTGAAGTGTCTGCTAACTATCTTTAATGTGCTTTGTTTACTCTGAATGCAGCTACTATAATGTCTATAACATTGACTACCACATCCGAGGTAATGAGCATCTCTTTTATAAGGTGTTTTGATTTTTGGAATTCTGAAACACAATAACCTAAATAATACTGGTTTGTTCTCTTTATTCCTACTTGGTATGCAGTATGGGATTTCACAGATGTTGTGAATTTAGCAACATTTAATTATCAAATTAAATGGTACAGTGCGTTATCACACCTTGTGTTTTGTTAATGTGAGTATTTTGTAACCACAGTGCCATGTGTTAATAATTACTGCCACATAATATGTGATTTGTTGTTTTGCTCTACCTTGATTATTGTCATATTGTTACATATTGCACATTTATTATGTAATATAATCGGTGAGTTAACCCTTCATGGGCAGTAGCATGGTCAACAGTGTACCACAGAACCTTACCTCTTAACCTTTTCTTTAAAGTTCCACTATGTACCTGAAAATGTCTAAAAGGCATTTTTTCATAGTTCTAGAAAAAAAGTACAAGTACATTGGTAAAATCTAACTTGGTATCTAGAGTCCATACTGATGATTAATTAGTTGATCTAATCAAACTCGGGGTAAAACAGCAAGAATTATATCTTCAATGTCTTCAATGATTTTTTTTCACTTTTTCTGAATCCCAGACCAAAATGAAAATTATTGCATTTAATGATCTCTGTTTCTGACTTCCTGTAGTTCCAGGTACTTTTTTTTTTTTAATTTGATGAGATGGATTCTGAGGAGTTTTTAAGCTGCAATTTTCATTGTGTTTTTGGGAAGTAAAAGAAATGAAATGTCCACTTTCTTATGGTGCAATTTTCCCATTTGTCAGTGTTTGCTTGTTTTTGTGTTTTAATGCTGTCTGCCTTTTACCCTTATCTTGCCCCCGTGCATTGACATGTGTCTTACATGTTGACCTTGCTGCACTTTGTTTATGTCTTTTGACGTAGTTTCATCATAACAGCATGACCTATTTATAGCAGTTTTCACTCAGCATCTGGGCCAGGCCAATCTCTAAGGCTATTTCTGTCTCAGCCGGTCTTGCTTTATGACAAGACTGAGAGGCTGTCTCCTGGACTGAATGCTTCGTTTCTTGTGGCTCTTGTGACCCAGTGTGTCCTGTTTGCTTCAGGTTATTGTAACTGAAGGTTGGCAACATTTGCATGTGACTAAAAGGCAGCATTAATTTCAGCAAGAGTGCGCATTTGATGTCCTTTTGTATGAATGTATTAAAAGGATTCACTATTCACGTTTTGTCTTGAATTTTGTCCTGATAATTTTTCACATTTTAAACATCATATGGTTGCATGTGGTTGCTACAGACCATGACCATTACCAGATTACTGATTTTAAATCCTCTAAGAACAGTGATCAATATGTGGCCAACTTATACATTTTACACGCACACCAACAAATAAAATACAAGAAGAAAAAATCAGGACATGAAATTCAGGTCAGTAAGTTGACCGTGCAATCAGTTAGCCAATAGCAACCTGTAACCTCTTATGAGTCTGCAATACATGAAAACTAATGTGGCCATCAGTTCGATATTGAAAGAGGCACCCCTGAGGGACTTTTGTAACTTTTTGACGCCTGGCTCATCATGGGCAATAATGACAAGGTGATGAAACAATTGTGCAGGTTATTTGGAGGCTGTGTTCAGATCAATAAATCATCTGGTGGTTCATGATGTGAGACAAGAGAACAACTGATATAAAAGTGTATGACTAGATACCGAGAATAAGAAAGATAAACTTACTGCAGTCGGTGATAATGGCAACAATATTTATTAGAATTATAGCATTAAACATGATTGTTCTTTCTGAGTTCAAATAGCCTGTCTGGAGCATTTCTCACAGCTTTAGTCGATCTTTCATATGTTTGGGGAATTTATTCCATTTCACAGCAGCGGGATATGCTTCAGAACTACTTCACTTTATTTGCCAATGCCTCATCTTTCTTCAAAATTGATCTCGACTTGCAGCCTGTGCGGGGAGGACATACATTCATTGATTAGCTGTCTCTGTGTTGCTGGGATCAATATTATTTGTTGGTTTGCTTTCTGCAATCATATTGTTTGGTCCTGCCCATCTTTTCATAGACTGGACAAATAATTTGTGTAGGAGCTTTGGGAGAAACTGGGAGATTTCTAGGGTTGAAAAGAGAAAAGAATTAGAAAAAGACTTTCATATTAAGGCCGTAGAGGCTTGATTAATTATATTTGTGCCTAGTTCAGTGTGCGGAGGCTCATGCTTTACTGTTGTCATTATTGGAAACTTGCAGGTTTATCTGTCAAACAGCTGACATTAAAATTTTCACAGATATTGAAAACTAAATAATGAGACCTATGAAATCTATAGTTGTTTTGGGCCATGTGGTGCTGCAGACATCCAGAAGGGTGCAGTGTAGCTTCATTGATGAATTCTATCTCTGACATGTCAGTGGACCATGGTCCAGATGTTATGCGCACACACACACGCACGTACACACACACACACACACACACACACGCGCGCCAAGCAGGACACAAAACTGGCAGAGCACTACCCCCCCTTCCTTCCCCACCTGTGAGCCCACCTGTGTGTCCATCTGCAGAGGAGAGACACCAGTTGTTCTGGTTAGGAGCCAGTGTGTCTCAAGTACCTTCCCATATCCTCCTTCCATGGGTCTGTCTGCTGCAGTCTGTCCAGCCCTCTAAGGCATATATATTATACAGAGAGAGAAGTGGCGCTATGAAGAACAACCATAAAAAGACAGCTGAATCAAAAAGAGTTCAAAATGAAAAAGAGATGCGTCAAATGCAATTTCCTACTTCATTTTCCATTCAGACCAGTGGTTGATATTCTGTTTTTGATAATATCAGACAAGTTAGTGAAAAAAGGAATTATTTAAGTACAGAATTGTAGTATATGTTCCTGTAACAAGTGGGTTATCATGCCAGAGATTTGACATTACATTGAACAAATGATTTTTCTAACTTATAACTTTGCAGCTTAATAACTGCCACAAAGAGACTAATTCATGGTCGTGATTTTTTTTTTTTTTACATACATAAGTACGATCACTTGTTCAGTGAAATAATAGCAGACGAACCTTAAAGCTACCGTATACATCATTAGAGTTGTTGTTAGATCACAAAAAGAGCCAAAACTGAACAGGAGACAAACAATGATGAATAAGTTTTATTAAAAAGCTTTCCAGCCTTTTGGAGCTAAATGTGGAATGAACATTTATTGTGCGTTGACCACAGGGGAAATAAAACCCCATGGCCGTCTCGTATGTGTGAAGTGAGAATCTTTGTCCTTAACCCAAGATTTTCACTCCGTAACTAGAATGACCTCGCATCTGGTGCTGCCACGGCTTGTCTGACAGGAATATGTCTGTCCTCGCTAGGTAACAAATGAACCCAACACCCCTGAGACTGGTCTCGCATCTGTTTATCTTTTTCACCTGTCTGCTCGCTGCACTGCATCAGGCTGACACTCCTCTGCAGCCTTTGTGGATTTCAGCGCATGCCTCTGGCATGACAGGGACAGAGATAGTCAGTGTTGGCTGGTAGCAGCATTTGTTAACTTTGGGACTGGGCATGATAGTATAATACAATGTGCAAGACCATTTACATATTTGATTCTACAACTTAATGGTGTATTTAATTTTTTATAATATATAATGGTTGGATTTCTTTATCTTTATCGGTGCTGTCTTTTCTTTTTAATCATCTTCCGTTGGTAATTCTATATTTGGTATCGTTCTTATGTTTTAGCTACGGCTGAAATCATTAGTTGATTAATTGATGAGTTGGTCAACAGCAAAATAATGTATTCACTAAATATTAATTAAATAACTATTTTGATAATCAATTAATTGTTTTTGCCATTTTTCAAGCAGAAGTGTTCAACAGTCTCTGGTTCCAGTAAATGTAGGATTGTCTACTTTTCTTTGTTTAATCTGATAGTAAAATGAACAACTTTGAGTTTTAGACTATTGATTGGATGACATAAACAATCTGATGAAATCACCTTGAGCTTTAGGAAATTATAAAGGGAATTTTTTGCGGTCTTCTTTACATTTTATTGGCCAAATTGGCCAATAATCAAACAATCAAGAAACACATCTGCCAATGATTTGATCAATGACTTTGGATCAAAGAGTCTTCATAGATAGTATATTTTTTTTTACAGAGTTTAAGGAAATGGTGACAGATATGCAGAAAAATAGTAAAATTAAGGACTTGGGTGAGGACAACAGGCAGGGCACTCCCTCTGTGCCTTGGTGAGGCTACGGGGTTGAACGAAATGTCAGGCACTGAGGAACAGATGCATAATTGAAACATTGCGTTGCTGCTGCAGCCGCACACAAGGTTGTTTGATTGATACCATTTTAGAACACTCCTGTCCCCTCATGCTCATGGGGTTTACCTGGGGAGAAACCAGGGGAGGGGGAAAGGTGCTTAGGTGGCTCATCTGGGTTTTGGAGGAAAATTGGTGCCATCCATCAAACACTGCATTTAACAAACGCTAACACAGGCCTGGCCAACAAAGGATTCGTATATAAGGCAGCGAACCGGGAAACATGTGAGGTGCAGGGACTGCTGAGGGTCTATCAATCAGCCAGTCAGCTCCTTTATTTAACAAGCGAGGGCCACAGACCCCAAGGGCCACACTCCATATTCTGGCTGGTTGGGCTTGCAGTCTTCTCCTGTAAAAAGGAAGAAAAAAGGGGAAGACAGGGATGAAGGGAGGAAGGAAAGAGGGGCATGAAGGGATTGGGGTTGGGTGGTGGGGGGTGATAGAGGTGCAGAAGGGTTTGGCCTGTGTCCCCTGGCGTGCCGGTGCGCTTCATCTTCTCAGTGCAAGGGCCTGGAACTACTGCTTGATGGGATTTTCAGCCCTGTGGCCTCCGCTGTCCCAGCATCCATCTGGAGGGCTGCCGTGTGCACAGCGGAGAGCCAGCCACTCAGCGACACAGCCATAAAGAGCAACCCGTAGGCCAGCCAGTGCCACTGATCTGAGGCTTGCAGCTCTGTTCAGTGGACAGGCCAACACTCAGTGGCACACATTCCTGTCAGGGACACAGGCTGATCCCTAAGCTACTGTGTGCTCAGTGGAACAGAAGACACGGTCTGTGAGGCAGCCCACATCCAACCACTGACTTCTTCAAAGCTTAGAAAATTGGCATGGAACAAGGACTTCACTATTCAGCATCCTTAATGGTGTGGAAAGGACTATCTCCCTGTCTCTCATTTTCCTGTCTCTGTCTGTGCCACTGCAATAGAATATATGCCCTTATCATCATTTTTTGCATTGTGTGACTTTTGATTTTTTAATCAAGCTTTTACCGTGCATTCAGTATCTGAGTTTTAATGGCACCTTGTAAACAGTGCGAATGTACTCGCAGTGGTCACACAGATTCCTGATTTGAGTAAGCCTGTTGAATGGCTGGCCATAATAAAACCTTGCCTGAAAACAATGCTTCCCTTGCATGTTCAATTAGACACTGAGTCCATTTCTACGGAGAAGTTCAATTTAATACCACCACGCACAGCGTCCAGAACAATAATATCATTATATTATATATAATTGAAAATCAAGACCAAATATGCAAAGACAGTCATTACTGCTTCTCATTATTGGATCCAATTTATGTATGCCCCAGGGGACAGAGTAGCAAATAATGGATTGTACTATGGAGAGCTGAGATACTGTACTCGCCATATTGGTGTCGAACGTGCACGAGATCCAGCCTGATATAACTGATTCGACTGTGGAAAGTTTGGATTGAAAATGTTTTTGTTTCTCCTCAGGG